TGGGTCCAGCTCAGCATATTGGGTGTTTCTGTGATTTTACTGTTTCTCCAGGTGAACAGTCAGGTTCCACTCCAACTGCTCCAGCAGTGACTTTGAGTCACTTTTCTTCATCACTTGTCATTTTCCAGCTTTGAATACATCCCGTGGGTGAGTTTCTTGAGAGAGACGGCATATCTGTCTTCATTGCTTTCCTTCACTTTTTTATTCCCCCTTCTGAAAAAGCAGGAACAATACCACACGTCTTTCATTGCACCAACTGCTATTGCTGAAGGGTGGAAAAAATTAGGTGCTGGTTTGTTTTTTTTTTTCCTTTTTCTTCCCACCTTCATTAACTTTAACATGTACTGTGCTCCTCTTCCAGCACAAACGTAGCCTTGCTGGAGAAGAAACTCTCAGCTCGAACAATCTCGTGTTGATTTTCCGCTCTCTCAAGTACCGGCTGCTCTAATTTCCTTTGGAAATGCACCATTTCTTCAAGAAAGACGAGGCACAGGCTGACACCTGCTGTATTAATGATTTACCTCTTTATCTAATTGCTGGCTGTGAGGTGAGGGGTGTTGTCACTGTGGTTTGAAGGTGTTGAGCAGGAAGGGAGGGAATGGTGCTCTTGGGGATGAGGTCACATTTTGGGGTGATGGAAGAGGGGACAGTGCTAGCAGTGGTTTACAGCTCCCCATGGACAAAACAGGTGCAGGATCCATCCCAACATCTACAGAGGAGAGCTGGGTGGGGTTTTTGAGGGCCCTTTTKGAGAGTGACTACCAGGGACCTTGTTGGGTGACCCTGGGCAGCACATTTCCCCTTCCCACCCCATTCCTGCCTGTAAAACCCAGAGCAGTGTTACRTAAAGGCCAGGAAACATTACTAGGTGTTGTTGGTTTGCACAGGGGAGGAATTCACATCCTCAGGTAGCTGAGAAATCACCGTGGCATCAGAGCCAGGTCCTCCTGTGCTGCAGGCCTGGGTGCTTTGTGCCTCTGGACCCAAATGGAGACAGTGCCAGCTGTCCCTGGATCTGTGGGGTGGCTTTTTGGGGTGGCTCTGTGGGGCTGGGGCTGTCCCATGCAGTCCCTCACCCCCGCAAGGTTGGGAAGG